CTTTTACAGGCGGGGAAAATACTTGCAAATCTGATTGTGATGGGTACTGGGATATTGGGTCGTGCTTTCTTTCAAGCATATCGACAAGCACTTGCAAGTAAGTTCCAACACTTTTTTTTTATATATGTTAGCTTTTTTAGATCAAGTGGTTGCTTCATGAATCTAATGATAGGCTCGCTCGCTTAGGAAGAATCTGTTTTTACAATTGAAAGATTGGTTACAAGTTGCATTTTCATGGTGACTAATGATTCTGGAAACTTGTTTATTTCATCCCCTGGATATGTTTTTACTACTATTAGAACAGATTATATGTTTAAGAATCAGGTTGCTCTGTTTTATTCAAGTATATAGAATCGGTAATTGAGACAAAATGGTCATGTATTTGTAATGAAGGAGACGTATCTTACCCAAGAAACTTCTTTTGCAGATGCGTCTAAAACTGGCGTTGCGCAGGAAGCAATGCAGAATGCTGTTCGTAAAGGAGCAAAAGCCATTAACGAGCAAGAGGCTAGGCAGATTCTCGGTGTAACCGAGCAGACCTCTTGGGAAGAGATATTACAGGTAAACCATTTCTCTTCAACTACCAATGAATGATGCTTTCTCGATCTAATTTCAGACTCTGAACCAAATAACTAAAAGGAATGGGTCTATATATGAATGCAGAAATACGACAAACTGTTTGAGAACAACGCGAAAGCTGGGAGCTTTTACCTCCAATCTAAAGTTCATCGAGCCAAAGAATGTCTAGAAGTTGTATACAGGAGCAAAGCCAACGGTACACCTAGTTAAGATTGTTATGTTTTTATTTTACAGATTCAAAAAAATTCTTGCTCTTACTGTGTAAAACTAAAGAGGATATCACGGTTCTTTGAGATGATGTGAAACTCAATAAACGGCCATAATTCTCTTTACTCATTAATTAGTAATAACTAAGAAGGCTTTGCTCTGATCAATTGATCCTTGTCAAAGAGCCTCTTAAGACTAGAATGGATTGTTCTGTGTTTGTGTTGTATTTTTCTCACTCATAAGAGAAGAGTCTGTTAGAGGCTTCTTGTCTTTCTTTTTTTTTTAATACCAGATTCCAAACTGATTATATACAGTTGGTAATATTATGTATAATTACTTCAATAAACTTGATGGAAAATTAGAAACCTGATGGGTATTGCAAACAAATTTCATTTCATAATGGTGAATTTTGGTATACAAAATACAGTTCTATGCACAAGAAATAAATTACGACCCAATTTTATCAATCTGAATTGAAGAAGCTAAGATGAAAACGTGTAAGGAGATGAGTAACAGTCCTATTAAAGTGGAAGTGAAGTGGTTCGTCTTGTGAGAATCGTAGTCGTTGAGTGAAATGTGACGATCCTTATTTGGTTCACTTCTTGATCTCCTCTTACACCTTTTCTTTATTCCATTTTTTAGAAGAAAACCTGTGAAGTAGCAAAGACAGAAAATATAGTTTTAGAATGAAACACTTGAAGATGTTAAAATGAGAAGTTGTTGTTGTTGTTTAGCATGAAGTTAACTTACTTGAATAATGGGGAAATTTGGTTGAAATTGGTGAGTCTAGTAGTGGATTGGAGGTGGGGGAGAAGCGTATATGTAGACTGGAGGAGGAGGAGATTTTACCGGAGGTGGCGGAGAGTTGTAGTGGTACGGTGGTGGGGGAGATTTGACTGGTGGGGGTGGTGAATGGTAGTAGTAAGGAGGAGGTGATTTCACCGGTGGTGGTGGAGATTGGTAGTGGTATCGTGGTGGGGGAGATTTGACCGGTGGTGGTGGGGAGTGGTAATAGTACGGCGGTGGGGGAGATTTGACTGGAGGAGGTGGAGAGTGGTAGTAGTATGGTGGTGGAGGAGATTTCACCGGAGGAGGTGGAGAATGGTAGTAGTACGGTGGTGGTGGGGATTTCACCGGTGGGGGTGGTGAATGATA